GGAACTTGTAGGGTAGTATTTGTCTTTCAAAATCTTACTAACTAGCAAATCTGGTTGAGTGGTGATCCTCCAGAGTTGCTAGCAGATGAGAGCAGTGTTGAAAAGCTGCAAGTCCATGAATCACAATCCTCTATCTGCTTTTAGGAGTGTGAGGATGTTCCATGATTTTCAATGAATCCGTCTAGATTGGTCATTACCTGCACTCCACCAGAACTGAGAGCATTGTTTAGTAATTTCAGCACATAGTGTTTTAGGGATTTTGAAACAATACATGGTAAACACTGGCAAGTCTTGCAAGACAACTTTGATCAGTACTGCTTTCTCAGCTTGACTTAGAAATTTGGATCTCCAATTGCATATCTTAGCTGAAACAGAGTCTATGATGTACTTAAAGGTGTCAAGTTGATCTTCCAATGCCTAATGGAAGTCCCAGGTACTTGGTGGATCTGTGTGGGGTAATCCCATCCAGTGTGGCACAAATGCTGGATTTCAAATGCTGTGGAGTGTTTCTACTGAAGAAAGCTAATAATTTGCTCAAATCGACAGGTTGCTCAGTGAAAAGCTTGTATTTTCCAGTATAGTCAGAAGAGAGTTGGCCTGATCTATGCCGACTTTGCAGAAAAACAATGAGCCATCTGCAAAATGCAAATGAGAAACAAGAGGCCCATTGTTGGAGAGTTTCAAACCAATCAGAAGACCTGAAGCAGTAGCTTGAGAAACTAATGCAGATAGCAATCCAACAATAATAATAAAAAGATAAGGGGATAGTGGATCCCGATATCTGATTCCTCTGGAAGGAAGCACATATCCACTGACAGTTCCATTAATTTTAAAAGAGCAAGAGCATGAAGATATACAAATCATGATCAAGTTAACAAAGTTCTAATGGAAACCCATTTGAAGCATTATTTTCTTCCCACAAAGCCACTCCACTCTGTCATATGCTTTCATCAAGTCAAACTTTAGAGCGATGAAACCAGTTTTGCCAGAATTGTGTTTATTTAGGAAATCGAAAACTTATTGACCAATGATGATATTGTCCATAAGTTGTCT